ACTCTCAAGGGATTACGACTTGCTGCTGGGTAAACCACACTCTACACACAAAACTGACACTTTTCCAAAACTGTGAGTTTCTTTATGAGTAAAACCTAGTTATTTATTTAGGGATTGTATTAAGGTATACAAAGTATACATATATTGGGTGAAGGTATATTAAAGTATTTTCTTTGACCTCTATATATTAAGGCTTTTAGTTAGGGATGCACCGATAACAGTGTTTTTTCAGACCACATATAAGTATTTAGATTTAGGTACTTGCCAATATGAAGTAAAGATATGGGTACTTAATAATGCCATTACCGTTCAACAATGATTTTGAAAATATGTTTTTATTTTAATCAGATGTTCCTGTGAAGACTGTAACAAATTAAATGTTGCAATTGTTGCGTAAAATATCTAACGCTGCTGTAAAGTCCTGTCGGGTGTGGTATCGGAGTAGTTTTATGATTACCAGTACGTAAGTAAGTATATAAGCACAGTATCAGACCTTGTTCTGGTATTGGTGCATCCCTACTTTTAGTGTAACAAGCTAAATTCTCTTCAAAGTAGTTAAATACTAAAAGGAAAAACAAAGAAAAAAATAAATACAATTCAGTGAGAAAAATAAAAAGGTTTTTTACACAAAAAGGCATACAAACTATATAATTGTCATAATTGGACTAGCTAAAATTATGATTGCGCAATTTGTAACCTCTGCTAACCCGCACGATGGTAGTCAGTATAGTTGAAGATGCAGGGCAGGGTTTTCTGTGATGATGAATGTTGATAGCTACTGAATCAGCCTGCCATAAATAATTGAAGTGACAAACGGGTCAGAGTGCTTGAAGGCTACAATTCCCAGTCACATCTCAGTTCAAGTACTTTAGAGGCTTTAATAACCACTGTGATTTCTGTTCCCTCTCTCTCTGGTCATAACTCCAGCCTCTCCTATCCCTCTCTTTCTTTCTTTTATTCAGTCATTCATCCACTGTCCCAAAGAAATGGGGTCAGTTTATTGAAGTTTTCCTCTGGCTCTTTCCTGTTGTCTCACTCCGCTTATGTAAACCAGACAGCCCCAGCTGACCGGACACGACAGCTCAAACTAAGTAGAATAGGGCATGATTCCATTCTGACGAGCTCCTCATCATCGTCTGTCGTCTAAAAATTTAAACTCTTCCTCTAGACGCGACGATCAAATCAAAAATATTCTTATCATCTTACAAAGCTACACTCTCACATGATGTCTTGTACCTTCACCCAGCCTGACTTGCTACATTGGTATTCTTGTTTCCTTGTTATTTCTTTTGAACTATCATGATGTCTTTGAACTGATCATTTCTGAGCACAGCAATTCCCCAGTTCTGGCTTTAAACAGCGGCTTTACCTTCACAGCCTACTGCTCAGTCCTACAAAACCACATTTGTCAAGGAAAGTGAAAGAAAGCACAAAAGGAAGGAAGGAAACATTGGTTGCCTGTCTATATGTGTGGAAGCATACAAACTAAATTCAATAGTTGTGCAGTGTAAAAGTAGCAGGAAAGGCATAAACAGAGTAAAACTAGGCTATGGGAATGTTGCTTTGAAAAAAGAGAGCAACCTTCAACGGAACTGAGAGGGAATGGACTTTGCCATTGTGTGTCTGAAAAAACAAACGGTCATCCCACGTCGGGACAAGAAAGAATCACAGTGTAGCGCCAGTCTGAAACGAATAGTAAACACAGTCCAGTCCAAGTCAAACTGGTGGGAGTCCTGTATAAATTATTAACCCAATACAGGCAGGTGGTGCTTAAAGTTTCAGTAAAATGTGAAAGAAAAATTGTGTGAGTTGCAGCACGGTGGATCAATTCGTTTTAATGAATGCAGTGTAGTTAATTTTAGAGGTACATTTTGGAGTTTCATTATGCTCTCCAAACGCAAGCATAAACATGATTCAGGTGAGTGGGCAGTTAGAATAGCCTGACAAACAAAACATCACAGCACTCTGTCCCTGTCTATAGCAGATGGTTTTATAGATGAGGAAACAAATTTATATATTTTTTTTACAGTTGACTGTTTACATGACCTGAAAGTGGCCTGGTTCTCAAAGAGTATTAGACTCTAATGCTCCTAAATTGAAACATTCAACATGGCAATGCTAATCAAAGGCTGGTGTAATCTTAGTCATCTGCTTTATTATCTTATCACACAAGCACACCCTCTTTCCCAACAGCCATTCATAAATCCCATTCTTTACTGGTTAAAGAGGAATCTTATCTATTGGCAAAAACAGTTCAGTAGCATAAAACTAATAGAAAAAAAACCCTGAGGTGAGATTCATGTTCTAAATAGTCAAGCACATAACCTGAAATTGTCAAATGTCCTCAAACTATCCATCTTTAAGCTACACAGTGTTTGTCCCACATGGATAACGATCTCGCAGTGGCTTTAGGCCACATCTAAAATACCCTCCCACTTCCTGCAGGCCTGTCAGATAGAATCTCCTCATAAGTACACTCCTCTAAACTTCAGACATGTTTGCGTGTGGGTGGAAGTTTTTGGAGATAATGACAATTTATAAACATGATTTGAGCTCTGGCTTGTCCCCAACTTCTGTAATGTTGCCAGTTTTGCCTGAGGGGTGTGGGCTTTCCTCCAATCCTCCAAAGGAAACACGGCAGACTCACTGGCCAAAAGGCTGACATGAGTGAGCCAATGTGTCAAACCAAAAGCTTCCCCATGGTTTTACACTTTCCATATCATGCTTAAAGATGGCTTTGAAACAGATCACTCTCACTCGGCACATCTAATCAAGTTTGGTTACTGGTCACACTGGTGGCCCATTTCTGAAGCTATTTGTGCTCAATTAGGGGATGCACAATGGTTTGTGTTTCTTGGACTATTGGGCTGAATGGGAAATTTGTGCAGTTTCTGTGTAGACAAGATAATGTAAAGATACCCTGTGGAGTTTTTACCACTACAAGTGCTATGAAGCAATGTTTTTATGAGTGGGAAAAGAGTATTGCATCAGTAAAGGGAGTGAAAAAGAAGACTGCAAGCTAGTTGATATATATGATTGATATGAACAGGTAAAAATGTAAAAATAATCTTCAGATATGGACTAAGACATGTATACAAATAGTTTGCTTGTTTCTGTTTCTGTTTTCCTTGACTTTCACACTATTTGGGATGTCACAAATCAGATTTTCAATGAGAACAGAGAAACTTTCAGCTTTCAGCAGATGCATCTGAAAACATCCTTATAGACTATAAGTTATAGTGTCAAACTCTACACCACTGTGCACACTGAAGCTCAAACAGCTAACAAATAAAACACATTTTGAGTGAAGGGGGACTTTAAATATTAGTTTTGGAAATGTTGTTTTCAAAATGCTTGCTAGATCTCAAGGATACATCCTATGTGTTTTGGTGAATATGAACAGACACGTTTGTACAAGAAAACTTCACAGGGTGGCTTTGAAATTTCACTAACAAACAAACCGCACAATAAAATGGTACTCAAATTTATATTAATTCAGCTGACAGCTTGATGGCTTCTTCATAGCAGTAGTAGTGCATCGTATACAATATGTATGCAGAGGCCACAGCAAAGCCACAAACTTGTGGAGAGAAAATCTAATTGAATGAAATATATGATGTAAGTATAATTCCATTTCAGCTTTGTCACACATGATGAAAAATGTGAGTTAATATTCACAAGTACACAACTCTACTGGCAGATGCTTTAACATTGTGTGCTTCACCCAATGCTGCATTCGGTTGGTGCTTATAAAAAAAAGAGTGATTATCATAAATATGCATCACATACAAAAGCACACACACACAATTTATATTTCATCACTGTGTTAGACCACAGAGGAATGAAGAAAATGCTAATATGTCCGGCAGCTTTCTTATTTGGTACCAGTGCTGTTGATGATCCTGCTTTGGGTCCAGTGGGACCTTACCTGCAGCAAAATGAGTACAGCATTATCTCCATGCAAATATTACCAGAGGAAAACAAACAGGCAAAGTAACTCATCTACTGACTGGCTATGAAGGAGTCATCAGCTTCCTCTGAAAGAGGAAAAAACAAGATGTCTCATAGTTCAAAACAACCTCAGAGCCAACCTGCTGTAATTTCCGTTGCAGCCTCTGTATGTGCACTAACTGTAAAATGTTTCACTGGCTTTTATTGTTAAGACATAGGCATTCTAAATATTATAGGTATAGCTCAATTTATGCATCCATTTCCTGTTCTAACCTGATATACAATTTGCTTTTATGGCCTTTTTCTCCATCACAATTTCAAGCTTATTCATTTATTTTAACTGGAATGTTATCACATATGTATATGATCCTGTCTCATACTGTATATTTATAGAAACTGAAAGGGAATGAGATTTGGCTGAGTTCAAATTTTGCCTAATTGTGGCTGCACACAAACAAAACTGCACCTTTTCTTGAAATTTAATGAATGCTATAATTCCAGCGGAAGGAAGCAAAGCCAAATATGAATGAAGAACATTTTTAGCCTGTGGCTAAACTTTCAAAAAATGACTTATCTTCAGTCAGCAGAGGTGTAAACAAAGCAAAATGTCCAGCACGGTTGGAACACAACTTAACACAAGCTAACAAGGCTGATGTGCTTTAAGTAGTTTTGGGGAGCTGCTGCTCTGAAGCAAACATTTAGATCAAAACAGGCAGCATTAGCAGTTTTAACTGTAGGGCAGCCAACACTCTTCATCAGACAACAAAAAACCACAGAAAAGACCTTTAGTTGAACAGGTAGAGCCGTGGCTCCTCAGGGTGAGAACTGGGATTGTGATGAGATAGTGTAGTTGCTTTCAAATAGTTTTGTGCAGTGCAAAACAATGCTGGTGTTTATAGCGCTGAGAATGCAGAGTTTGGTTAGAATAAATAAGCTCTTCTACTTTTCCTGAGATTCATGGTTTTCAATTATTGATTATTGTACCAACAGTGCCATTAATCATTTAAAGGTCAGTCACAATCTTCACCTTCACTAAAAAGAAAAAAAAATCTTGTTCAAATATATATTTATTTCCTTATTCCTTCATACAAACATCTTTTTTTTTCCAAAAAAATAAACTGTTGAAACAGATGAATCAATACAAGTGCACTGTCCCTGTAGCTGTGAACAGCGTCCACAAGGTAGTTAAAGAGTGGGTAAAGCTGTGTGATGATTGGATATAAAGCAACAGAAGGGGGTCCTCAAGGTTGACACACGGTAATAAAAACAAATAGTTGTCTCTCTTCCCACTCTGTATTGATCTCCAGCACCTGAGCTGTAAAGGAGCAAGCACTTTCAGTCAGGTAGAAGTACACTGGAGAGGTTTTGCTCCTGTGTGCAAAGATTCATTGGATTAGAAAGATAATTATGGGCAATTAAATTCTGACTTCATCCCCAAATGATTAGACTGCAGGTGCAGCGTCTGATGCAAATGTATCCATCATAACAAGTCACTTCATCTTGGTTTGAGGGTGCAAAATCTCACTTTTCTTAGAAAGAGAGAGGAAATTTGGCTGTGAGCAATTTTAACTTGCTTCCGATGCTAATCAACTTGTGGGAATTTTGTTTTGACCCTTGTGATCTGCTTTACTAATGCACTTGAGAATTAAACAAGTGTCACCTGCAAACCTCAGGGATTTCCCTCTCATTCTGGAGGGGGGAAAAAAGGAAAAAGATTCAGGATGAATTTAAACTCCCTCTTAAGATTCACTTTTGTTTGCAGTATGGCACATGCACCCAAGCCCACAGACAAAGCTCCTACTGGTTGACTGGAGGGATAAATGCTCCCCGACAACACACATGCTTCGTTATTAAGCATGAAAAGTGGACATTTGCAATTGAACATCTCCTTTAACCTAAAACTCTAGTCCTCATCCCAGAATCCACTATCAGTTGACAAAACGCTCCTCTTTGATTTCATGTGTTGCGTTCAGGTGGTTGGCCAGCTCTTGCATCACAGCATCTTTGCCAATCTGATCGTTCCTCCTCTTTTCCATGATCACGTCCTCCAGGCTCTGAAACTCCAGGACGTGACTCTTCTTCTCTGAAAACAGTAATTTTAACCTGTAAGGCTGCTTTCCTATCCTTATCTCCCCTCCGATTTTGAACTCCCGTTTTCCAAAGCGGCACCAGGCGGCAAAACACTCCGAGTTTCTCCAGTACAGCTCCCTGTCTCTCGACCCAACATGGTCCAGGGCGTTGCGCACGATCACCTCGGGCGGGAGCGCACGGTACCTGTAGAGGCCGTTCACTATCCTGCCTTTTTTGCCCAGGCTCACATCGGTCAGAAAGTTGTTCTTGATCTCAGCCCTGTGCAAGTGAACCACCTGGAAGTCCCCGACGTAAACAGCCCAGTGTGGATACTGTCCAGTGGCCACAAACTCCAGCAGGTCTCCTGGTCTGCACTTGTTCAGGAGACTTTCCGCAGAGTGCGTCGCGGTTCCGCTGGTTCTCTCGTACACGCACTCCTCTCGGTAGTAAATCGCGCACTCCAGCTCGTCCTGGGGGTCGAAAGGCTTCTCCTCATGGTTCACCGCGCGGTTGACCGATGAAAAGTGGTCCAAACGGTCGTCCTGGTCGTCATCGTCGCCGTCGTCGTTGGAGAAAATGTAAGAGACGCCGATCCGCGGTCCGTCGTCGTCCGGATCGAACCCATTTGGGTCCGACGTTGGCACCTCTGCGTAATTTAAATGCGTTAGTTTCTCCACCTGGTTCCCCATAAAGGTTAAAAGGTGGATGAAAGGGGGGATAAAGCTGAGCACACAAACAGGATCCACCTGTTCTTGGCGCACTCACTTCACCGGGGGAGGAGAGACGGAAGGCGCCGGGCTGTGCGGTGTCTTAACTAAATCCAAAGCGGTAAACACGGGCACCAATAATCCATGTCCGGCTGTATCTATCCTCCAGAAGAACACCAACTGCGCCCACCTGTACACAAACAAACAGGACAGAAGCTTAAACAAGGACTTCAGCGCACATTAGACACCCATCTGCAAGTCAAACTATTAGGCGTAGTTTACATTCCCAACAGGTGTGACCCGACACACCTGTTGGTTCACAGTTTCCACGATCCTCTCCAATAGAAGTACAGCTGTCTCTACTTCACGTACCACACAACCTACACTTCTGCTGTCATGTTAGTCTTTCTCAGAATCAGCCCGGCTCTTTTCCTTCAGGTCAGTCCACAGTAAAAAATTAAATAAAATAAATAAACTCTGTGGACAGCAGACGGACTCACCTGCAGTTCGGCTCCCGACAGCAGCTCTTCCTCACACGCTCCTGCTGTCACATCGGTGAAATAAACAGTGTCAGACCCGCGCTGTCTGCGAGGTAGGCTGGTGCGTGGTTGGCTCGGCTCTACAGACCGTCTGTAGTATGAAGCGCAGAGGTTGTTGCAGCGAAACTCAGCCAGGATCTAGTGACTGCTGGGAGGTGTTGTCTTTTAAAGCGATAGTGCGCCGTTTGGCCTCATTTACATATCCTGTCTCCACTTTACTTCCAATGAGTAGAAAAACATCTAGGTGAGATGTTTCCACTGCTGTTTGATTTGCATTAGAGACTATTTTAAGAGGTTTGTTTCATTATTTTTAGGTATTAGTTCAGCTAAAACATACTTAAATTAAATCAATACAGTTTTGTGCATTTTAAATGTTGAATAAACATAATAATGTGGAGATATGGAATGTTATAGGGATACTTTTTCTTTTCTTTAAACACATAAATATAGCCTAATATAAAGGTCACTGACCACACACACATCTAAGTCCATATGTGGTCAATACAGTGGTTTTTCAAATGGGGGGAATGCTCCCAAAAGGTCAAATACATACAGCACAGAGCACACAGTAAATCTAGATTATACATCCATATATACATATACATATTGGAATTAACAGAAGCTGTTTTCATGCAATTCTACAAAAGGGGTGTAACGGTTTGTTGGGGGAAATTATAAAAACATCACAGCTTTCAGGAACAGAGAGCAGCAGACAAGTACTGTAAAAAGGAAAGAAAGAAAAGAGTGTAGTTGGTGGTGAGGAGAGATGCATTTATGCAGGCTTTTTGCAGCCCTTACTCATGAAATTCTGTAATCTTCTTGTAATCAACACTGTATAATTAGTTTTAGACACAGAATATGTGTAAAATCCTTTCACTTTTACTTTAGGGTAAATGACAGTAACTAACTGTGCACAACTGCTCAATGAACCGGTCAATTATTTCATCATATCCATACTCAGAAAGTTGTGTGCTATGATGAAATGAGGTTTAAAAGTGAAATCTGATTATAAAGTAAAATCTCTTTGGCAATTTACATTATCCCTGTACTGTATGTAGGGACTCGTGATGTAATTTGAAGATTAGGATCATAAATGCTTAACTATGGTTTTCTTCATCCTCTCAAGCACAAATGACCCTACAAAACTTGGTTTATTTGATCAAATCAAATGTTGTGCAAAACTGAAGGCATACATTATTATTCAGTTAGTGTCCCATTGAAGTTGAGGTTGCGTCATTGTAAACAACCGGACGTAACTTTACACAATCAAATCAAAACTGACTTGAGTTATACAGTTCATTCTGTATATTAACTTTGCACTGGATTGTGCCTTCAAATCTCTTGAGCTATACAGATCTACACATCACTAATGGCAGCTGGGATATCAAAAAAAGTGATGGAAAGTGTCTCTGAAATGCACTAAATAGTTTTTCACGGTAGAGATGTGGATTTGCAAGCACAGGTGTTATAATAACACTAACAATGGTGCTGTTCCACACTGTAAACTGTGACAGTGTGACAGCATGAACAATACTAGGACCCTTCATTATTTACGTCTGCTTTTCTTACTGTGACATGTCAAAATGTTAGTGAGTTACATGAAGTATTTTTTTGTTTGTGCACAATTCACAGTACTGTCTTTAAAGTTGCAGTCTTAAACAACTTAACTATGGTTTAAAGGAAATCCATGACAGCTCTATATGAAAGGGTGTCAACAGCACAAGGAACCAGACTGGTCTCTTTTTTTTGATGGGAGTGTCAAACTGCTATTACCATCAAAAAGCAGCAGGAGACAAGCATGACACCTGGATCAATCCAGAATTTTGTAGCACCGGCCTCCTTCCTTTCCATCCAGCTTTGGCACTGCCCCGGCCAGGACTGCTGCACCAGGAAGTGAGACTGTTCATTTGCAGTCAAAGGTAAAATCTTCCTTGGACAAACCAGATATTGAGGCTTACAGTGTCTCAGGCAGCCATTACACCTACTTCTCGGAGCTTGTGAACAGATTAATGTGAATTCCAGATCAAACATAACCAGAAGAAAGCAAACATCTATGGGGAATTGATTCGGTTATTTTTTTTTTTTCTCAGCCCTGCATGTCTGTACGATATTGTGATTGAATTTCTGCGGCTATTTGAAGCTCTGCATCCATCCAAAGAAACAGCTTTAATGGCTCTGCCTGTGATACGGTGAATGCAATGCTGTTGCGTTTGTGTGCACACTTTCCACAAATTGAACTATTGTTGGGAAATTACCTGTAACTTAACATGTTGTGCATTAAACAAGATTAGATGTGCAGAATGGCAATTCAAAACGAAACAGAGTGGAGAAATGAATGAGTCAACATCAGCTAGATCATTTGTTGCCACTTAAATATCTTCATTGGTGAAATGCTCTTAGTGCTGTGACGCACTGTTTGGACGGAAAGAGCAATTAGAGATTTTCACAAATGCCTGATGCAAGGTTATTAAAAGATTAGCTTCACCTAGCTTCATTTCAGCATGCCTTTGTTTGTTTCTCTTTGGAACAAAGACCCTTCTCAAGGAGCGAAAAACAGGCAGGAAGGGAGAGATTTAATCACAAAAGTGCATTCCTCTTTAAAGGAATGGCTTGTTTATTCACGTAACTGTTTTAGAGGAAATTCTTTTGCTATCTGCAGTATCTTACTTCAGTTCTCTGCAGAAACTGTCTCGTTTTTAAAATGGAGGCTCACAGGTCCCAGAAAGATTTCAACATTTCAAATATTTATCTTCAGATTGTCTGTAAAGAACATTATATATATATATATATATGCTCACTAGCCTGAAGCCTAAAACGAGCAGTTCCTGGATTTATGCAGTGTGCCAGTACAACTGTAGTAATAATCCTACAGCATACCTGGAGTTTATAATCCAGAGATGAAAAGTTCATTCTTCTGTTCTGGCTCTGCAGACTACATGATGTCCTCCTGCAGACACTGCTCTCTTGTGGTTTTGTCAACTTACTGCATCATGTAGACCGCAGCAACCTATTTGAGAAATGACTTACCCACAATCCTAATTGAAGGTACAGGTTTGGGTGGTTTTAATTTATGAAAAGGTCTGCAGCTTTTATTTACATTCCAACAAGACTGGAGTTAAAGAAAATGCTCCAGCTGAAACACAAACAATTCATCATTTTTAAATTCTAATTTAACTGGATGCCAGAGTTTTCCTGAGGTACAAATCGCATAAAATAAAAAAATAAAAAGCAAACATAGGTTAACAATTCGAGCACTGATGAAAACAATATTCCTTTGCTGATATACAAATAATGACCAAGGCATCGGTTTTATGAGGAATGAGTCTGCCAACAAAAACATTATATATTACGTCCGGTTGGCCTGTCTCTTATGGGCCTGGATCTTTCTCCTCAGCATCTGGTCAGGAATCAGGTCTGACTCTTTCACATCTGTGTTCCCACAGCCTACCACAGGACAGCTAGAGGGCAGAGGAAGAGAGGGAAACTTAAAGGGTATCAAAAAAAAAAATGCGTTTAAAGCAAATCTTTGCATTGATACTCTTTAAGACAAGTACAACAGCATTTTTCTTACACTGATTTAGAGTATGGAAAACCCTCTTGAGTATTACTGCTTTAATTGTGCATGTATGGTGTGTGCACAGTGACCACAGTCGGGACTCAACAATAGGCAAGTTTCTTTGACATCCACATAGACCGGCACTGGGATTTCATCAGTGTTCCTCTAGGGAGCAGCCACATTTAATTTCATTCCAACATCAAAGCAGTATAATAAAGAAAATGTGAATTAAAGCAGACTGCTGGTCCCACGCCCGCCCGTCGAGTTGTTTACTGCTGTAAAACCTGACTCAACTTCCTAACAGCCCTCCAAGGGAGAGTGTCTTACCGGCACTTCTTTTTCTGGCTGTGTTTTGTTTTGATCAGGTTTTGTATGGCTCCTTCATCATAGTGGTGGTTACACTTCTTATTCCTCACCGGGTTCACCATTTCCACCTTGAACGCAGACACACAGCGGTGTGTTATATAATGAAACACAATTTAGCTGCTAAAACATCAAATCAAACATCAAAACAAGATCAAAGTTCTTCATGTTTTGCTAATACTGAATTGCCAGAAATTAAGTAGCGATGTAATAAGATAGAAATGTTTTCAAATAAGAAAAAGCACTCAATGAAAGCATGAATTATGTAAAGTAAAGTAACCCATCATGAGGCTGGACTGGTCTACCTGTGTTAGTGGACAGGTGAAGTTGACTTGGCTCTGTGTAACAGCAATGTCCTCATCGAGCTCCTCCATGTTCTCTGCTGGATCTTGGTTAGCTGAAAGAACGACATACATACAGTGTTCGTCCAAATAACTATATAGCAGCAAACATGGCCGTTACGGACAAGCACACACCAAAAACAACATCTAACACACCCACTCGCAGATAAACCATCTCCCTTTTTTAACCCATGTATAAAGTTAATCTATTGCTACAACAATCAAATAGTTGAAGGTCATCCTGTGCTTAAGGTATTAAAAAAAAAAAACTCTACATAACGCCTCCTTAAACTCTTCCAGGCGATGATGAGCCCACCTAAAGAGTTCCAGATCTTAATTTCAGCCTTTAAGAGAGTAAAATCTACGCTTCAAGTATCCCTATTGGAGCATGAGGAGCTCATTCAGTGGAGAATAATGATGCCTGATGGGATAAGCCTTCACAGTATATGAAATTATCTCAAATAATCACTTGAGTTCACAAGGTTCACACCTCAAAATACGTTTTCTCACACAATGGAACTTTTGGGAGTGAGTCAGATTGGGAAAATAACCTTGGTGCAATGGCAGTTTCACTTACAATTATCTGTGAGTGGCTACCTTTTTAATAAGGGGTGTAATAAGGACAACACTTTAAAAGCAGAAAACAAAACAGCTACAGGGTGGCCGCCATAATTATTCAACAGTAAACTCTGATGTGCTTGTTTGAAATATAGCTAATTATCCTCCAAAAAAAGGATGCATCCCAAGATCAGTGCATGAATTCAAACCATTTCCCACACTGTCTGTGCACAGGCATTACCTTGGTTGAGAGAGTTATTGATGGTGTCCTTGAAGGCCACTACTTTCTGGTGATTCTGCAGCTCAGCGTCAGAGATTCTGGATATTTTCTCTGTGAACTGCTCCTTCACTCTTGCAGAGAGACTGAACATGGCCTCTGGCTGCTGTGTAGTAACCTACAGTAAATGAAGTAGGTTATTTCCCTCTACTGCTACCATTAGAGTCAACTGCTTTCCCCGACATTTAAACTTTTGACTTGGCACTCCGGTAAAATCGGGTTGCTCTCACCTCTCCTGTGACTTGTTGCACAACGTCAACAAAGTAGTTGATCTCTCTGTCCAGCTTGGCACACTCCACAATCATAGCCTCCATCTCTTTGATGCCAGGGTTCACATCTTTATCTGTAACACAGCAGCACACACAGTGATGGGGAAAGTAGTCAGATACTCCATTACATGTGAAAGCATTCAAAATCTTGCTTGTGTAAAATAAAAACTGAAATTTTAGCAACAAATGTATCAAAAGTACTGACACAGACCGACCTTTGCAAGCATAATATTAGCTTGATGGATCATTATCATTGATGCAGCTGTAGTTAATGTTGTAGTTGTTTCAGGTGGAGCTTATTTGAACTACTTTTTATACTGCTGGGTCGTTTAATCTATACCAATGCATCATATTCTATAAATATCATTGAGTTAGTTTGATAAAGATAAATTATAGCTATAGCTGCCATATAAAGGTAAGTTAGTGGTGTACAGAGTGCAATAATCCCCCTGTGGTGTATTAAAGTATAGATAGTAACGTTAAGTATACTTAATGTCAGCTAATATACTTGTTTACTTCCCAGCACGTGGAAAACACTTCAGAACCAGGAATTCTGGGAATATCCCGAGTTATTATGTAAGTGAGAAGTTAAATGAGACCCAAAGACTAAAGCAGGGTTTGAAGGAAACCAGTACAACCAGTGAGAGCATTAAACACACTGGGAGCTTGTGATATTTACCCTGCGCTTCCGCCAGGTCCATAGCCACATCTGTCACTATATCCATTCCCGTCCCGATGTCTGCCTGACACAACCTCAGGCTGGACAGTGTCCCGTGAACGGCGCTAAGAGACATGACTATAGATATCGTTGACCCTGTGAGAGCCCACACACAACAAACAAACACAACCTCAACTTCAGCGAACCGACGCTACGTTAACGGTAGCCTAGCTTGCTGACGTTACCTGCTATAGGTTGGTTAGTTTAGTGAAGTTAGTTAACCGACGTGCTGCTGTGTGGATATGAAGTAGCAGTGTCTACATCGGTGTCTGTTTTTGCTAATGCTTTTAAGAAGTTAACAGCAATAAGTAAAGTAAGCAAATCACGCGCGAAAAATAAGTACAACTATGGATATGGCTGCGGTTTGACTTCCGGGTGTTTTTCAAAGTAAAAGCCTTGACCAGAAGAGACAACTATTAACTGAAGGGAAACAAAACAACATGTTATGAACAATCATTTTTATTAATGAAATTCATTAGGCAATGGCACAAAATGACAATATACAAAGTTGGCAAGTTAACTCATAGGCAATTTAATTTTATTATCTATGTACAATCTATTATTAGTGCATTAAGACATTAATGGTCAATGAAATGTGTAAGTAAACTATTCAATAGGCTTTTTTCATGAAAGACACTGAAGCGCAGCTTTAAATCATAAAATGAATGAAGGCAAAACTCCATTTAGCCGCTTCGCGTCCAGGGTCCTGGAATTGTGGATCCTAGATTACTGTCACACACTGACATGGCTTACTGGAACAGTTGAAATAAACAAAGCAAGCACCTGTCCTTCTCCCAATATAACAAGATAAAATGTCTGCAGTGAAAAAAGCCTAACAAAAGTATAATTTTCTAATGCTTTATCCAGATCTTCACAGTATTGTTCTGAACTCGTCAAAAATGAAACTGGGCACATGGGCTTCAGCCACCTTGAAAATACAGAGAAAAAAAAGAGAAATACAAGTTAGTATCCCACATTACATACAGTAAAATGCAAGACATAGTGCTTAAAAATATCTATAGTTGTGTCTCATTCAGGCCATGGTGCTGTATGGTTAACTATTTCTTACAGCAGAAAGGTATTACATCTGTATAAGAATACAGCAACTAAACATATTAGGGTAGAATCATTAGAAATCAAAGCTCCGGTCCATGTAAATTGTTGTCATTTGCCACATTTTTGACAAGTTTTTACATTATAAGCAGCTTACTAAGATCAAAGTTGTCCTACCTTGCGTGACAGTTTTGTGAACCTCACATAGTCCTCTAGGAACATCAGAGCCCCCACCACATCAGAAGGCATGTCAGGGATCTTCTGACTACGATGGGATCAAATGAGTTGATAAAGCCATAACAGGATCAGATCAACCAAACAATACGGGAAACAATATCTATACTAAAAACTACATAAAAGAAAGTGGTACTACCACTACTGGTACTATTGCAGTCAAGTAAGTAGTCAAGTCTCATTTGTTACCTTGTGCACTGCTCCATGATAGAGCGGATGAACTGACCAATGAGAGCCATGAACTGGTGTGTGTATCTGGAGTGGAACTGCTTGAGCAGGGTGAGCAGGCCGAGCACTAGAGGAGGCCAGTCAACTGGGTCTGTGGCTTTCCTGCACGTCATTCCTGGAAAAACACAAGACATCAGCTGTGTGGTTACTTACATGTGGATGCAGCCTTACATATCAGTAAGTCTGGTATACTTACGGAATACCAAGAATCTGTTGTGGTCACATCAGTTAAACCATCGTGATCCAAAAAGTGACTTCCTACAAATGATTACTTTTATGTGTCATGAATATGTACGCTTTTAATTGTGTTCAAATTAAAAATTGTGAAGTGATACAAGCTCTATCCTTACACACAAAATTAATCACAGAGAGAGACCATTGTTGCCAACTTGGTGACTTTCTTTTCAGTTTTTCTCTCACTCTAATCTCTGGATTAGGGTGATCCTATAGCCTTTAAATATGCAAACAGTTTGTTTAACCTTCCCTCTCACTCTTTCGCTCCGGATGTCTGAATTAGGGCGTTCCTATAGCTTAGCCTATATGTAAACGGTTTGTGACTATTTGTCTAAATAACAATAAGTGTGTTTATGTAAATTTCCATCGCTGTGTTCCAGGTATCAGAAACAGATCTGAATTTACACTGCAGTTTTCAGTGACGCATTTATTGATGTAATATAGTTATAAATAAACAAGAAACACTAACTCAACTAATAACTAAAATAATTATGAAAACCGATTGTGGACAAACACCTAGAGTAATATCAATTTGCAGGAAACAACTTCCATGGCAGACCAGAGCACGTGAAGTGAAGCCAGTTGCAGAGACAAAGTTATTAAACTTTTTTATGATGGGATTTCATTAAATTCAGGACAGTTGTGGGAAAAAAGTTAATTTCATCAACAACAGTACAATGAGTGATGTAATATAGTAAACTGAAAACAACTTGCCTTGGTTTTTGCTGTACTGAACTTTAGGCAGCTGAGCAATAATAAACAGGAAGTTGATGATCGGGAAGTAAGGTAGGCGCTTTGTGGTGATGTAGATCTGTGACAACCATAAACGGAAGGGAAATGGTCAAAACATATTCTGCAATGTCTAAGCACATAGAACAAAAAAAACCAGAAAGTTTGTAAATATGACTTATTATTTGTCCAACATTATCTCCAGACCTTGTTGAGTGGATTGTGAATGCCGGCAGCCTCCAGGTGGGCAGTGATGTCATACAGAAGAGTGTTGTCCTCTTTAGGGTAGGGCAGGGATGGATCCTGGTAGTGAGCTTCAATGTCAGCCAGCAGAGACCTGGAAAGGTTGCAATAAGAGTTGAAACTAGCAAAATAAATGATAGTAATTAAATATGTATATACTGTATTACCTACATATGTCATGAGTCTAAAGGCAACATACAGCACCTATGAGTATCTCTTCATGATACAGAAATAAATACAATAAAATAAATACAAAATACAACAGATGTAAGTGGTACAGTATGCTTTGAGGTGGCGAGACTGGACTGACTTGTTCAGGTTTTCCAGGGCAGCAGCCAGGTGTTTGGAGTCAAACTTGCAGGAGTAGTTCAGCTCATTAGCAATCTGCTGTCTGAGAATCTGCATCTGACCCACCTACATCAAACGCAGTGTAACATAAGGATTAAAGATTTTAAACACAATTTGAGCTCACGTTTCATCTTCAAATAAAGCACGTTGCATGAACATCAAGTTATTATTATTTTCTATTCACAACATTAGAGAATGTCAAATACCTTCATGATGGCCTCCAGATATGCACCCCAGATCTTCTGAGTTTTGGCCACAGCATTAGCGTACACTTTGCTAGCATTAGCTGTTGCAGAAAAAACAAATAGATTTTTCACAAGGAATAAAAAGATCCTGTCAGGTTGTAAGAGTTCCTAAATAATTACCTACCCACAATGCCCTGGACTGGGTTGACAGCACCCAGCATGGCTTTAAAAACATCCACCACAGCTTTGTCCCTCAGGATGGTCTTCTGAATCATTGTCAGGAAGTTCTGATGGGAAAAACAGGTTGCTAACAGTGCAAATATATTCAGGTGTGCATACCAGATGCACTGAATAGACCATAAAAGCCCTTACAGACCTGGAAGCACTAATGTGTCACCTGTTTATTTCAGTAAGAGCCTGGTGGTAGCTTTGTTGCACAGCCTGAGACCCTTTTGTTCACTAATTACCTGAAGTTCCTTTACTATCATGAAGCAGAGCAGGCGGTCTAGTCCATTAAGGCCAAATGTACCCAGGGTGTTCTGGATCTCAGAGAACAGCCTGTTGTTGGTGACCTCCTGGTGGCTCTTTAGGTCGTACCAGGTGTTCAACTGGTCGATGTAGCACGTCACCCTGTAGAAAGGACCCATGTTTGTCAGGGAAGCTTCTAAATACTGCAAAATTCAGCATCTACAGATATGACCAAATTTCAAAGATTTCAATAACATACTTGGGATCAGTGATTCGTAGGATCTCTCTGCAGAGACGACCAATGAAGGTAGCAGACTCATCCACAGAGGGAAACTTTGGGATGGGGATGTGGGTGGACTGGTGCACACTCTGCCAGTCCTGGATCTGATTGGAAGCAAGGAAAGAACCAATCAATCAACTCCTGTGACTGACATAGGCAAACAACCAGAGCATCTTGTATTGATTAAAGAAGGATGAACTAATGTCAGTGCAATATTCAGGGATGTGATCAGAAACAGCAAAAATCACGCTACTGCGTTGAGCCAGACCTTTGCCCTGAGGAAGCTATTGCATTCCTGTTCCACATTGTAGTTGATGATGCGGGATACTTCCTCCTGCCAGATTTTAAGGCCATAAATGCTGACGTAGTCCTGGATGTACTCAAACGACCTGTAGAACCCATCCATGGTGGCCGCCATGTCCTTCAACTTGGGCATCAGCTCACTCAGCTAACATAGTGGAAGATTGTTGTTTAGTCTAATCTTTTCCTTTTTCACTACTGTTATCCTTGATCATATTTTTTTTCAAAGGCATTATATATAGTCAATAAAAAGATAAATTGTTTTTATCCTTAAATAATATAAATATAAAAATATGCAGCGATCAACACACAGCCGATCTGAAATCTGACCTTAGCCTTGGGGTTGAAGATCAGTCCCTTGTGCAGAGCATAAGCTACCCTCTTCACCAACTCCTTCCTGATGCCATCCTCCAGTAGTTGCTTAGGATCCACCTAAAACATTGCACTGTGTTAATAAAGTATAATCCACTAAAGGAAGGACGTTTTAATAGTCTATCATCATCATGTTAAAAGTAAAGGTAGAAAAGTCCAAATAACTGTTTCACATCATCTACCTTAATGATCCCAACTAGAGTGGTCTTCATCATCAGGATCCCCTCGGTGAAGATGGAGATGTCATGGGTGAGTTTAGCCACCTGTAATCATAGAAGCATGTTTAGGCAAATGACAGACAGAATCCAGGGAACATTAAATTAAATCAGGCCAATGACAAAGTATAATGATAAGCTAAGAATATTCTATTTCAGTTTTTATAAAAAGAGATGAATGCCAGCAGACGTCGTACTTGAACAGTATAAACAGATATGTGCCATGCTGTTTTGTTTTTAAGTTTAAAATTGAAAATAAAATCAAAAGTTAAACTCTAAAACACTCATATTTAATTCCAGGGCACTTGACTGCATTTCAAAATATGCAATTTCAATATCAGCCTGACAAGTTCTAATTAATGTAATTGAAGTAAGTCTTTGCCTGCACAATCTATTTCCATATTGAGCCTTTTTTTCTAATTTATATTTCACATCAAAAGCTGCTTGCGAGATTGAAAAACGT